GTTTTTCCAGCTGATTGCCAAATACAGGTATCAATCCTATTGGACGGAAGGACCCTAATGCGATTTAGTCACACTTACCCTTATAAGTGGGGAAAATGTTGAAGTGTGAGATAGCGGTTCAGTATATCAGTCAAAAGCCTGGGGTTATCTGATGCAAACTTTAGGCATATGTCTGATGCCAAGTTATCGAGTTCAGGGGCCATTTTGGGGTTCATCAGTCTCAAAAACTCCATAACTACCTCTTGGGTAAAGGGAAGATAGTCGTGGAACTGGGGAAAATTGGTCATGTCGCGTCTCAATTCATGGTGTCGCGTTAGGGTGTTAGATAAAAATGGGTAAGAAGTATCTTAGCAGTATCCTGACTGTCGTGGTAAAAATCAGTCACTTTTGAGGATGACTGGTGGGTGCCTAGAGGGATCAGTTTTCAAAAGTCTATTTGTAAGTGTAAGTCTAGGTACTTCGCGCATTTTACTAGTGTATGATTCCCTTTTTAGTTTTTATGCCTCTAATATACGATTGTCACGGATGCTCAAGCCATGGTGGTCGGGGTCCGGGTAAGACAAGAAACAAATGTGTGAATATGTATAATATTTGTAAGAAACATGTAAGGCTACAATAAAGACACTACAAATCAAACGACTAGATAATTCACAAGCATAATCTACATTACTCTAAGCATTAAAATAGGTAAGCACTTAATACTTAGCAAAATCTAAATCTACACATTAACTGCAGAATAAAATTACAAGCAAGGAAACATAAAATGTACTATAAGTTCTTTTATTACGTACATGAGAGCATAACATCATTATAAAATTTTATTAATTATAAAAGTAAAAGGGGAAAACAATAAAAATCAAATATAAAAAGAAAAAGGGAAAAACAATAAAAGAAAACAAATATTTCTACTCGAGGCTCGAACCAGGAAACCTTAGGAAGTCGCCCGATGCATGCATGCCGCTCTAAGTAATAGGCTATACTTGTCGACAACGATTCATCTCAAATAAGGATATAGTATTGTCTTTCACTGTCCTCATCTTTTAAAACAAATAAACTTTACTGATAACATTTCATATCAGAGATGCAGGAAGGCGTAATTGTCACAATTAACTTGATGGGCGTTTCCACAGACTGAAATAATTGCACAATCTAAGAATACTGTTCCAGGATTACTCAGACCATCAAACAACGTATAGTATTAAACACTTACCCCGTTGCACTTATAAAATTAACGTTCCACGAATATAAGCTTCTATTTAAAATATATAAGGTTCACTGATACACTGTCTTATTATATTTAAGCAAACTTTAAACTTTAAATGTCTGACAAAAATTACCGCTACGTCGTACTATCATTTATTCTGTCACCGCTCGTCGCGAACCCCGCCCTCCGCTGTTCATCCTCAGTTCCTACCCTCCAATCCTTTTATCAAGTTCGGGAACAAGGCCCATCTCAATTATTAATTTAATTACCACATTTTTATCATCACACGACCTAAAGGCAGGCCCTGACGCTTGGCAGTGTGAAGCCGGTGATGCAGATCCACCACCTATCGCTTAAGGGACTCCAACCCGCCGTCCACCGAGGCACTTTCAGTTTTTTACCTTCGCACCTAACGTGCATGCTTGCTTGGCATGCGAGTGGATAATTTCAGTTAGTTCGTCGATGACCTGGTCCAGAACATCGGCGTTCAGAGTGAGTATGTCGTCTTCAAGTATATCAGTGAGTGTCATGTGTATGTGCAGTTTGTCCTTAAAGATAGGCCAACAGGATTTGTTAGATGTGTATAGAAAAGTGAAGTTCTGATGTGTGTATGTGGTATCATCTGTATTTAAATAAATGCAATAGTCTATTGCACTGTGCTGAGAGGTTGGGGAGATACTAGGTTGTGGTTGTGGCGTTGATGATGGTAGTAATAGACGTCTTGCATATTTTACGACACCCTCTGTCACCGGTCTGGGTATTTAACGTCTGGACAAAAACGAGTGGTTTTACCACCATTTATTAGAAGCTACAAGATCTTGTTGAAATCCCATAGTCGCCTATTACGATATCAACGGGACGAAATGAGATGATAGGTTCTAAAACTAGCGGCTCATTTTTGTGGGTAGATTAATAACTATTTTAATTAATCTGCTCTTGTCTTTGTAATTCATAGTTCATGTGAATAGTATCTTTACGAAGAAAGGATATTATAAATAAGATGATTACTTAAAAGACCCATGTGGGCATTATTACTTTCCTGTTTTTAAATATGTATGTATTTAATAAGGTTAAATTTAAGAAAAATAGTCTATTTGTTATTTTCTCGTCGTTACTTCTCAAAACGTCTTCCGTATTAAATACTTGGTAGTAGGCGATGGCGTAATAGTGTGGCGTAGTGATGGCGTAAGGTCAATTTTTATATAAAATTTTGGGTTTGACTTTGAGATTTAGTTACTTAAAGTGTTAGAAGACACAAAATTTTATTAAGGACTATTGATCCACCCCGAGCTCACCTGGATATGGTATATTAATTGAGCATTATTTAGATTGAAGATAATCATAGTCCATTTAATTTGCCTTTTTTTAAACTCAAAGTTTTTCAAATAAATTATAAATCATACATCCCTCCTGGGGTGCATCTATTCGTAAAATTGCGATAGGTTCGGCCATTCTAGAGGTTAACCCGGACATTCAGACAGACAAACAATTTAAAAATGATTGTTTATATCTTAATAGCTTGCAAATAAACTTGACAAAAGCCAGTTATTTCTATATTGCAAACATTCACTTCAATTTTATTTGTGTTTAACTAAAGCGTGAAGTAATGCTTAAAATATAGTTTTAAAACCTAAACCGCACTCGAAAATCCTAATCAAGAAATAGGATTATTGGCTTAAGCTAACGTTGTTTAGTTATAACGGTCGCTGTCCGCTGCTAACACAGGAATAATGAAATTACCTTCGCCTGAAAATGGTTCACTGTGATAAAATAGTGCTGGCCGTTACGACGACTGTAGTATATTAGAGTATAATGCTGGTATTAAACTTTTGAGCTCTTGAAATAAACATGCTGTGGTATCTTGGTATAAATTTTTTGCATTTTTCTTACTAATAACTCTTAGTAAAGATTTTATATTTTGAATTTGCATAAAAAAACAATTTAATTTAAAAAACATTTAAAACAGGTATTTACCTTACTTTAGCTATTAATTGTTATATAATCGTACTTTAACTATTCTGTATTCGACCTTCGAAAAAAAAGTGTTTGCCAAAGGGCAGGCGTATGGCACTGAGTAGAGTAAAAACACTTGAGGGTATTTCTTTATATGATCTAGAGGGTACTATACATATTAAATGGTTTTACAGAAACCTTAAGATGAACACAAGAGACTGACAGGTCTAAAACTCATTCAACGTGAGGTTTTGTAACGTAATGTAATTATTACGTAATGTTGTAAGACACAGCTCAGCATTAAATCTGTAAATAAACAATAAATCACCCCTATCTTCCCACCTTTAGGGTTAATTTTTTCCAAATGTATATGAGTAGGATACTTAAAGTTCACAAAGAATAAATAGTTGACTGATTGGATTGTCACGTATATTCCCTTTATCTCATGTTTATTATCTACACTTGGTGTTACCAGGTTTCTCCAATAAAAAATGTCAGGGTTCTGTTCGATGCTAAAAATAAAGACATGGCTAAAAGGACTAGATTCCAAGCCAAAAATCTTGCAAAAAAGAGCTATTTAAAAAGTAACACATCTGTCAAAAGGTTTAACACACTCTCGCGCTCTCTGGGTTGCAACTTATTTTTCGTTTTTTGCTACTCATTTCTTTTGTATTTTGGTTTATTTCTAACGACTTTGGCTTTACTTCGAACTTTGATTGGATTGCACTTCTGGTTGACCTGGCTGTGATAAATGGAATCTAACGAATTGGCTTTGTTTGCGGACATAGATCTGCAAAATCAGTTTTGTGTGAATTGTGGATCTGCTGGTGGTTCTATGCCGTTAAACAACGAAGAAATTCTTCGTTGTATACGTCAATGGACTTAGTAAGTTTACTAAAAACATTTTATTACTACTTACTCAATTTAATTGTATTTGAGCTATAAACTCGTATGATGATATTTCTCTGTCGTACACAATTTATAAGTAAAACTAATAAGAAGAAAGAAACTAATAATGTTTTAATACTTTGTAGGTTGAAGCTCATGACCTTATCTGCACAGTCTGTTGGTGAGAAGCAGTAAAGAAAACTGAATCTCAGTGCAGTGTTGGGCAGAACTGTGCGCTGTGTATAAACCCTTTACTGAAGCGTTCGCACCAAATCATAGGCTTAAGAACTGATACTGCTCATCACAAAAATACAAAAAGTATCATTCTGGAAAGACTCATTCCACTAAGTAAGTAAATAAAATGATCAATGATTAACCCAACATGTTTATTATTTGATTTTTATTTATTAATACTTCTTTGCAGGTTCGGGCATCACATTTTATTTGCCATTCATGTTGGCAAAGGCGGACCGTGTGGCAAAAAATTATTGTCAACCATCCTCATGAAGAAATGCTGAATAAAATGTTTTAAATGTGTTAACTGTGGCATTAATTTAACTAGAATACAACGACACATTTTACACGACGAAATTTTACTTGGCTTAGTACAGCAACGTGTTGCACCACAAGTCGTAAGTTTTTAATAATTTACTGTCTGAATTTTAAGCTTACTACCAATAAAGGACAGTACCTTGTGTACATTTTATAATTAGAATAGCTTAAATGTTAGTCAACTTTTCAGTCACACATTACCCTGGCATTTTTTTAATATTATTTACAGGTTAATTAATTACATTACATTACATTAATTTTAATTACAGGTAACTGCTAATGACTATATTTGTCATGACTGTAATATGATATTAAGTCAGAGAGCTGCCACAGAAGCTTCCCCTGCATTCTCTCTGGAACATGAAACTGAACCCTCTGTGGGTCACCAACGTGTTTGTGTAAAATGTGGATGTTCTTTATTGCAACAGCACAGCCACACAATAGAAGAAGCTACGACTCATCGTATCCTACATATTATTCAAAATTGGATTCACCAAGGGAGGTAAGATATCAAAATTAATTATATTTCACACTAGCATTTGTTATTGTCTAGAAATGGGCAGCAAATGAACGTGTACGCAGGTTTCACGTTAAGTTCTTTTTTACTTTAAGTTCCGAATAGCCTATGCATATATTTAATTCAAATTAATATAAGTTTTATTGATTATTGTTACAACATTAAGACATATGTATGATTGTCTCATAAATATCCCATTTTCTTTCTTTCAACTTGTTAATTTCTGTACGTTATTCCTAGGTGCAACCATCAGACATAATTTGTGACGGAAGAGCTAGAACAAGAGCAGGAGCACAATTGGCTGAGGAAAATTATGATTCAAATAATCAATTACAAGCAGCTGAAAGTGCTGAAAGAGTTGAAAGTACTGAAACAATCACGTTACCCCACTATTGCAAAGCACCAGATACACATTTTTCCAAACTGTAATAATACCTCACAGCATGTGGTCCCATTGCCTGTAAGAGTGCAACTGTTAAACGATTATAAATATTATATCCCACAAGACTGCCGAATTTGTCAATTTCATTTGTATGCAGAACCATGGACAACCCTTGTTGAAAATGAAAACCAGAACCGTAATTTTACTGCTGCTTATATAGAAGATTTCTGTGAGCTGCTGAAGTGTAATGGTAACATCATTTATTTTGAAAATATTGACCAAATTAATGATAATGCATTTTGGTATTGGACTGGGCGCACAAAAGACCAATTTCGTAAAATTTAATATAGTTTACGATTCTTTAAAAAACGGTCTATTGCCCTTGGAGCATATTTGATTAAATTAAGAACTGGAGACAGTGACGAAAGAATTTCCGAATTATCAACCATTTCTAGAAGTACGTTAACAAAACTAGTAAACAAAGCAAGAACATTCATGGAACGTCACTTTGTGCCAACACAACTGGGCCTAGGCCATATTACGAGAATGGAAGTGGCTGCTAAAAATCAGTAAATACCTGAATCTTTGTTTGGGAATCCTGGAAGTAATGTTGAAGACCGCAAAGCAATTGTAAACGGTACATATATTTATGTTCAAAAAAGTGGTAATTATAAATATCAAAAAGATACTTATTCGTTACATAAGTTCAGAAACTTGATAAAGCCGTTCCTTGTAGTATCATGCGATGGCCATACATAATAATAATTTTTAACCTAACCTAACCTAATAAATAAATTTAATACATCTTAATTGTTCCCTTTTTATTTGTAAATCCAGATTGTGACCTTCATTTGAACGAAGTTATTCCTTCTCAGCAACACTCTTCTGGAAATTAATTGCTTCCATTTTCTTATCATGCAATTATTGCAATGATGATGAAAGAGCTACATATGTAGGTTGCCTTCTTGAAATCAAAGATTTTTGTAATATTCCTTCCTTCTTATTATTACCACATTGAAGAGGTTTTGCAAAAGGAGTTCTTAACTTTTCGGGAGTATATCATATATAATATGGTATAGAGTATATAATACTAAAACAAAGATTTATATTAAAAATATAAACAACATAATGCCCATATAACATTTCATCTCACAAAAAATGAAAAAAACAGTTTGTCATATATTATGTAAGCTTTCATATTTTTTTAGATTTTTAGACATACCTATTAAGATTTTTGTGACAGTTCCGGTTTCATAGCTCCAATGAGTAAATGAACAGGCTCTTGCTAAACACTTCTGTAAATATCAATATTTTTACAGATGTTTCACCAATCAACAAATTAATAATTGAAAAAATAAGTTTAGATCACTGGGAACAACCGATTTTATTACCTTATATGCACAAATAACTAAAAATTGTGAAAATTTTGTTTGTCCCGGTTAATGCAAAATACCTGAATAGATTTAGAAGTAATATGGTAAAAAACCTTCCATCGCTTTCTTACAAGAACAATTCCGACTATTTATATGGGGTATTATTTACCCTTACATGCCTGTAGACGATGGCTTGACCATTGTATTGTGACAAGGTGCCGCTCGGAACACAGTGGCACATGTGTCTGTCATATATGACACTTTTTGGTCGGATCACTACCTATGAAATATATAAACACATGTAATAGCACCTAAAGTTATGCAAGGTAGCTTAAATATTAATGATGTAAAATGGGGCGACAGGAATTCCTCTCAAATAGATAAATATGGGGAATACTGTCATTGTAAACTTAGAAACATAAATTTTCCTTTGGAACTCACGAGTTGTGCAGATAAAATGTGTTCTGATAGTAGTCATAGAGAAACTATTGATAAATTGTACAAAAATATAATTGGTATCCTCACAGAAGGTGCTAAAATTTGTAGTAATCGTATAAGTAAAAATAGTACGAAAAAGAACAAACATGTCATCGGATGGAATAAACATGTCACGGACGCTCACCGGTACGCTCGGAATTGTCTACAGATGTGGCAGCTCTACGGTAAGCCGAGTGTTGGTCCAGTATACGGGAATATGGTGGAATTTAGGAGGGTATTTAAGTCTAAGCTAAAATGGTGTCAAAACAATCAGCAACAAATTAAAATGGACATGATTGCACAACACCGTGTTAGTAACGATTAAGAGCTTTTGGAAAGCTACAAATAAATTAAACTCAACATTGAGCCTTCCGGTGAGCGCCGCTGGCTTTCATGAGCACAGTGAGATCCTTCCAAGATCACTTCAGGGTGAGCTCGCCTCCTGGGCCTGCAGCTGCGATGTTTGATGATGGGCGTCGTGCTGACCAAATTAGAGTTAGATTCTCGGCGAAGGATGTGGACCGCGTAATTAAGAGCATGGTACGGGGTAAATCGCCTGGTCACGACTATCTCAGCATAGAGCATCTGCAGTGCGCAGGAATCCATCTACCAAGGGTCTTATCTTTGTTATATAACCTCTGTCTCAGCCACTCTTACCTACCTGATGACCTTATGCGAACCATTGTTGTGCCTGTTATTAAGAACAAGTCGGGGGGATCCATCGGAGTTGACAAATTATAGACCAATCTCACTGGCTACTGTGGTGGCAAAGGTGCTGGACAGTTTGCTTGATCAACACTTAAGTGGTTATTTAAAATTTAATGATGCGCAATTTGGTTTTCAACCAGGTCTGTCCACCGAAAGCGCTATCTTGTGTCTCAAGTAAACTGTCAAATACTACACTGATAGGAGCACTCCAGTTTTTGCCTGTTTTCTTGACCTGTCCATGGCCTTCGATTTGGTGTCACATGACATATTATGGAAAAAACTTCAAAATGAGACTGATGTGCCGCACGACGTAGTTGCGGTGCTACGATCGTGGTATGAGCGGCAGAGCAACTGTGTTAGATGGGCGAGCTCATACTCTGGTGTATATAGACTTGAATATGGGGTGAGGCAAGGTGGTCTTACATCTCCTATGCTCTTCAATATGTACATTAATGGCCTGATCGACGAGCTGAGCGGAACAAATGTAGGCTGTCATATCGATGGTGTATGTATTAATAACATAAGCTACGCAGACGACATGGTGCTGCTCAGCCCTTCGATTGGTGCCATGCAAAAACTATTAAAAGTATGTGAAAGCATATGCAGTGTCCCATGGACTCCGATACAATGTGAAAAAGAGTGAATTCATGGTGTTCAAGGCAGGAGTCAAATCCCTACCAAGTGCGACTACCTTCACACTCAACAACTCAACTCTAAAGCGTGTCTCACATTTTAAGTATCTGGGTCACTGGGTCACTGAGAATCTGCGTGATGATATGGATATCGAGCGGGAACGCAGGGCGCTGTCCATCCGATGTAACATGGTGGCCCGAAGGTCTGCTCGTTGCAGTAGGCAGGTAAAGATTAATATTTTCAAAGCCTACTGCCAGTCTTTTTACACGGGCAACCTATGGTTTAACTATACGCAGCGGGTGTACAGCGCGTTGCGTGTCCAGTATAATAATGGGTTTAGGATGCTGATGGGGCTGCCTCGCTTTTGCAGTGCGTCAGGAATGTTCACTGAAATGCACACTGATGGTTTCCACGCCATTATTAGAAAGCGTGTTGCATCGATGCTGAAGCGTTTGCGGGGCGGCTCCAATAGCATTCTTAACATAATGGCAGATAGATGGGACTCGCCGCTGCTTGAGCACTGGATACGGCTTCATGCCAAGGTATAAAACGCCGGTGCCCTCTTAGCGGATATCTCAAAATCTTAATTTATATCTGTGTTTATTATATTTATTTAAATTAAATTGATTACTAACACTAAAATTCGTAATAGTTATATTTCATTTCACTTCAATTTTACTAACATATTATATGGGCTTTCTGTTGCCTGTAATAAAGATATTTTATTTATTTATTTATTTTTTATAAGCAATGAATTTAATAAAACATTTACGCCGTAAACATTCTCCAGTAACATTCGCGGGAATTTAATAGAAGGATTTCATAAGAGCAAACGAAGATTGCATGAACTTTATTATAGTAGTATCGTGAATGGATGTACTCACCATCAGGTGTATTTTGTACCATTACCTTCTATAAAAATGGTAGTTAAGAGCTGCAGTAGGTAATTACTTACTTTAAAAATAAAAGAAAACCGGGTTCAAATTTTGTTACGTAAACGACCAATTAAAGTAAATATACAAATATTTAATTTATGTTGTACTATTCAATTAATTCTTTAGCAGCGTCGGCGAACGGTTTACGACAATCACAAAGTTGGCCGCCACCAAGAATTAAATGTTTAAATTAACTTGTATATCACTACTATATAACAATTTTTTTATATAGTATGTATTAGGTATAAAGAGATACATGTGATTTTACAGTCTAAATAAGGAAACAATTTTCTAGTATAATACAGAAGGGATCCATTCTGCATCTCTGCTCTAAAGAACTCTTTAATAGTTGGTGCTCTCACCAAACTACATCAGTACTTCACTCCTAACCTAATCATAATTGATGTACTGGGATCGTATCCTGCCACAAAATCAGACGCAGAAATTTTAAAGGATGAATTTATTGACCCCTCCAAACCCATGCGACAATATTTTAGAGAGGGAGATGTTATGATTTTAGACAGAGGCTTTCGAGACACTATTCCTTTACTCCAAAGTTTAAATTATGAAGTCCATTATCCGCTTACTTTACAACAGGGTCAAACTCAAATGACTACACAAGACGCGAATGAATCTCGACAAGTCACTCTATGTCTTTGGGTTGTGGAGGTGGTTAACGGAAGATTTAAAAGAGATTTTAAGCTGCTGCGATAAGAATATTTTAATAAAGTATCACAGCATTTAATGCTTGATTTTAAAGTCGCAGCAGCTTTAATCAATAAATTCCATCCTCTTTTGGAAGATCGGTATGATGCTACAATCATTGTATCTATAATTCAAGAAAGATTATTTTCAAATAATATTCTAGCTGATTATGTGAACAGAAACAACCTAAATAGAAGACAGGCCCAATTTGAAAAT